CTAGGCTCTCTGTCCATCTCTCATGTTCTAACACTTGCACCGTGGTCCAAGTTGTCATCATCTTTCAATTGTCTCCAGATGGGAGCTGACTGTGGGTGGAGTAGCCCCCTTCAGCAGTGAGCAGTTCGTAGAGTGTATGCAATGGAGTGACAGCTTCCTGGGGCTTCGGTTTGTGGTGGAGACTCTAGGTCAGCTGTTCCCAAACTGTGGGTCACAAGCCCTTCGGGGGTCAAATGACCCCTTCACAAGAGTCACATATTGGATGCCCTGCAAATCAGATATTTACATTATGATTCATAACAATAGCAAAATTGCAGCTATGAAGTAATAATGAACTAATTTTATGGTTGGTAGTCACACAAAATGAGGAACTATATTAAAGGGTCACACAACATTAGGAAGACTGAGTAGTGCTTCTCTAGATGGTATACTGTGGCACAAGTGACAGATGGACAGATATAGATTTAATCAGAACTGATCTACAAGACAGCACCTGCCATTACTACGCTTTCTGCACACTTGTCTTCTCACTTTTGGTAGTTGATATGGACCTAGGGCCTTATGCATCCTGGGAAAGTGTTCTACCACTGTGCAACACTTTCAGCCTTCTGTTTATTTGATTTGATTTGTTTTCATTATTCTGGAAATGCATATTTGAAAAAGAAAAGAAAATCACAGCACTGGTTGGGACCAGCAGGGGTTAGCATAGAATGCTGTGGAAATACAAAGGAGGCACATTCATTTACAACTAGGAAACTGAAGAAGCTTTCCTCAGTAGAGGGGAGATTGTCTCTAAACTAATTCAAAAGAGAAGGGACCGCTCCGCTGTGTGCAACCTTGAATGGGGAGAGTGAGACTGTACTGAGACCGTCTGATCCGACATGTTGTGCTCCATTGCAAAAAATGTATTTTGGTGACCTAGAAATGAAAGCACTCTCTTCCAGGCTAGCCTCGGGCTAGCAGCTCCACAGCTGGCCAGCTGTTCCTTAGAAAATAACACCACAGAGGCGATGTTTCTGCAGCCATTTCTGAGGAGACCGTTGTTCTTCTCCTGCATTCAGTCTAGACAAAGGAAAGCCTAACCATGCTTGAATGGGCCATGTTTTGTCCTGGTGTTGTATGATTTTATATGGAACAAGAATCAGTATAGTTCTTTACATCAAGGTGACACAGATGAAATGTGGAAAGGGAAAAGAATAGATCTAGGACTGTCTGACCCACAGTCCTCAGCACCTGTCATCTCCAAAACCTGGCTTCCCTGCCGTGTGTGTGTGCGTGTGCGTGTGTGTGTGTAAGCCTAAGTCAATGCAGCACATCTCCCTCCATAGGTCTTCGTAACTTTTGACACAGGGTCTTTCTCTGAACCTGGAGTTCATTGATTCAATTTGTCTGGCTGACCAATAACTGCAGGCACCCACCTTGTCTTTGATGTCCTCCAAACCCAGTGCCAGGGTTAGAGATGGGCACTGCCGTGCCTGCTTCCCTTGTGAGTGTCTGGGTCCCAGTGTGCTGCTGTGCCTGGTTCCCTTTGTGTGGGTGACTGGATTCACCTCAGATCCTTGTGTTTGTGCAGGAGGTTCCTAGCTTTTCCAGAAGCCCTTCTTCATCCTTTCTTGGACAGACATTTTCTACACCTTTCTCCATAGCACTAGGATTTTGGTTTGTTTTATTTCTCTAGATTTTAGTCTGTTCACTAACTTTCGTTACTGTTAAATGTCTCAGCAGGAAATGAAAACATCTAATGCTTTTATTCTGAAATGACTCAGTGGTTGCAGTCTGACACCGCTATGTTTTGTGAAAAGTCTTACTTAACTCTTTTGTCTCCATTGAGAGCATTATTTTCATTTCACAGAAATTTAGTTTTCAGTTTCCATTGGACTTACAAGTAGAATTCAAATTCAAATGATGTCTATATTTGTATTTTTAATTACTTTTAAGAGTAGAAATAAATTAAAATTTTTGTAGGAGTGTTGAAATTTCACTTCAATATCCTCTGTGGTAGTAAGATCTGCCTTTGTTATCCAGACTCCAGATTTTTAGAATGTTACAAGAATAAATCTATGTGAAGCAGAGATGAACAAATCAATGTTTAACTCATGGGAAATATGATTCTTAAAAGCATATGTAGTCCAAGCACAATCATAGCACTTGTGATATAGAGGCCAGAGGATCAGGAGTTCAAGGGTATCCTTGGCTATGCAATGAATTCAAGTCCAGCCTGAGCTACTCTAGAGTGTCTCAGAAAACAATGGGCTGGGAAGATGGCTTCAGGACTAAGGCCTTGCCTCACATATGCAACAGGACCTGAGTTTAAGTCAACAAACCTGTAAACGCAGTGCTACCATCGTGAGACGGAAAGTGGAGACAGGAGAAGCCTGCAAGCCTGTGAAACCACTAGCATGGCATATAATGACCTAAGACCAGACCTTGTCTCAAACAAGGAAGAGAAAGTGAGGACCAGCACCTGAGATCACACACACACACACACACACACACACACACACACACACACACACCCTCATACGTGTACATATATACCCTTACACATACACATATACATGCTCATATATACACACACACACACATACACACCGTATATGTCTGTGTATACATGTACACACACAATATTTTAGAAAACAAAACAAAAATCGTTTTCAAATTTCAGTGGTAAGGATTTGTAACTCAGGTGCTGGGTGGGGGAAGTGGGATATTCTGTCCTGATGTATGGGTCTCATTAGCTATGAAATTTGAGCCTCATCCCTAAAAGAACAGGATTATTTGGATATGTATGGGACTGTTCTTATTAATTTACTCTTGTTTTCATGATGTGGCTTCTTTGAAAACTGCCTCAATTCTTACTGTGCCTCGGGTTTTTAATGATCTTGAAGTCGACTGGCTCCTAACCATTCCCTGAAGGTCTGCTTTAATCTAGATGGTAACCAGCTTTGACATCCTCCAGTGATGTAAAAGGCAGCTCATGCTGAGCAGGGTCCTCTCTGGTCCTTTGTGGTCCTTCCTGAACATCAGAGTTTGACAGCTCAGCACCCTCCCTACTCCAGTGAGAGGATGCCTGGGCCTAAGTCAAGGCTGTTCACTGTTCCATGTGTAGACTCTCGCTTAGCCTAGCCTGCCATCTCAAGGTGGTGTCAGTCATATGTCAGCTCCATCAAAAGCTGTTCCTTCAGCTTGAAGGTGAATTCAAAGTGAGTGTAGGGGTGTCATTTTGTTTTCTACATTCGTAGGGGACACTAAAAGAATAAAGACACAAAAATTCATATACTCTTAATTTTTAAAAAAGCAGTTATTTTTATTGACTTCAAACCAAGAACTTGCCAGTGCCTTCTGTGTGAAATTTAGCAGGGGTGGCTTTCCCCTCTGTTCTCTGGCCTCAGGCCAGCACCACACTGTAGAGTAGCTCTATTCTGCCCCAGCTGCTGCTCTTTAATTAGACATTGGGGCACCCTCGTAACAAATTACTCACTCAAAGAAGATTCTGTGCTTCAGAAGGAGCTAAAAACCTCATGCATAGTGTCCCAGGCTCTTTGTTGGCAGAAGAACCACATAGACTCCCATGGGGATAAAGGGACTCAGAATGTGTCTAGACTTCGATGCTCAAGACCCTGAGCAGAGGAAATGTGAGTAAAGTCTAATTCCAGGGGTGGCTTTGCAAAGGGTGCCAGAGAGGAGAGAAAGGAAAAGAGACAGGAGAGAGAATGGTGATACAGTGGACACCAAGCAATGGTGGAAAAGGGATGTGTTCCTTGTTAGCACAGAGGTGAGGTTTGATTAACAGGGGGAGAAGTGATAATTTACTTAAATATAGGAAATGTAGACATATTGCAGGATCAAGAATGCAAAGACCTAGAAGACAGACCATTCCAGAGGCTAAAAACAATAGTGTTTAGAGAACTGCAAACAGCTGGACCGTGAAGTCAGAACCAGTGGGTCTCTATCAAGCTTGTTTGCACAAAGAAGGCCAACCCTTGGAGAGTGCTATCAGCCACTTACAAGGACTGCCTCTGCCCAGCCCAAGGGGATGTTCAGAGAATTCTAGCATAGGTTAGCTGGATGATGTCAAATTGACCCCATGTGTTTGTCTACAGGTGCTCTTCTGTCTTTTAGTTCTTTAGAGGAGAAACATTGCTGTAGATGTGGTTGACAGTCATTAAAGGTAGCTGTGGGTCTCCCCTGAAGACAGTAGTGCAGCAGACCTCCATGACTCTGACAGCTAGCTGGGACACATCAACTGAGTGCTGCGGCTGCCGTTTCTGCTGTGACTTTGATTGTTCTAACTCGGAAGTTAGGAGTCCCCAGTCTTGGGTGTTGAGTCCCAGTAGAATATTCCCCTCTGTCATTGTGAAAAATAAATCTTCAGACACTCCTGGGGATGAAGAGTTGAAAGTGGTAATTCCTTTTCTCCCTTCCCCATCACCAAGTGTTGGCCCCACACATTTGCAGTGCCCAGCTGACAATGGCAGTTGTAGCCAGGTGATTTTGCTGATGTTTTTTCAGTCTTGACGATTGACCCTAAAACCTTGTAGGTGTTGGACTAGTGCTCTGCTACTAAACCATATTCTCAGCCCAAAATACAAAATGTTTTAAGAACAGAAAGAAAGTTTCTTCAGTTCCTATTTTCTGAGATTTTCTTGTTCCCTCCATCCAGGATGGTCTCTACTTCTGACTGAATCTGCCACACATACAGCCCTTGTGTAGTACTATTGACAGAAAGAAAATCGAATTGTCCAGCATTCCCATTTCATTTACTTGATGCCCTCTGTGAAGATAAGTAGCAAAGAGGACATAACAAGGACTGTTTAAAAACAAATACTAACTAGAATTAGATCTTGAAAACGTTTCTATTGTCTACCTATGTTTTTGTCTGTCTGGTTTCAGGCATGCTGTAACATTGATCTAGGCATTGGTCTTTATGTGGTTAGAGCAGAAAACTAACATTCATCACAAGTAAATCTTTAAAAATTATCTTTTTTTCTTTCTTACAGGGACGTCATGTCAAAACAGGACAGCTTGCAGCCATTAAGGTCATGGATGTCACAGGGGTAAGGCATTTTTGTCACATCATCTTATTAGCTATATAGTTGTAACAAAGAAGTGAGTGACAGAAAAAAATATTTGCCAGAAAAGCGATCTTTCTAATATTCCAGATCCTTTCCCATTTGTGATTCCCATGAAGAAATGTGAATCTTTAGCAGCCGACTAAGCAGGCCAATAAATCGCTATGATTAAATCCAATACTACACACTGCCTTAGGCTGTTAGACTGAATAATGTGTGCCAATAATTTACATAAATATAACCATGGACATTTGCATTTGAAGGCAGAGCAAGGACTCCAAAGTATTAAAAGTATAACGCTGAGATTACGAAGAAGAGGTGGATCTTAACTGCTCTTCTTCTGCCCAACACTGAAGCAGAAGAGATCTCGGATACCTGTAATCCCCATACTACACTAATGTGAACATTTTCTAAAATATTTTTGACCAAATAATCACCCACAAATTCCTGTGTATTAGAGAGCAGCTCTAAACCAAACTTCTGCCTGGATGGTCAAAGCAGTCTAATATTCCTTTAGACTTTACATTATATACTGTCTAATGTTTTCAATCTTTTTGCTTGACCTAATTTTAAATATTTTGATAACTTTTTAAGATTGTAAAATGGAAATCAGATTTAAAGGATTCATAGGACATCAAAAACATGTTAATTATTTTCATTGTCCTGGGAATTTTTCTAAGATGTCTGTCTTTTTATGTTGTACATAAAAGCTAAAAGACTAAAGTCTCCATTTGGCCAGAAGTAAAATACTGAATATAAACAGTCATCAAATGAAAGAGTCACACAAAGATGTCAATAACCAAGAAACAGATTTTTAGAAATAAAAAGGATACACAGTTTGTCTGCACATGAAGCTCCCTTTAGATGGAGTCTGTTGTCTCTGACAAGTATATGTTGTAAGGCTCTCTAGAGAACCCTTCACCAATATCCATAAATATCACACATTGTATTAATTATTTATTTTTCATTTCTTCTTTATTATTGATCTAAATTTCTCCCTAAACTAAACTCTACAGTTTAATTAATAAAAGAAGAATCTTGTTCCTGTATTATATTACCTAAGTTGATTGACACTCTAAAATGTTTATTACTAATTGTGTGGTTTTGTGTTTCTTTTTACTGTAATTAGTAATTCTTTCAATTTCAATGTTGTAAACTAATTCAAATATTTGATATCAATTAGTTGATTAAGTAACATTGACTAAGAACTGCACATGGATTGTTTAAATTAGCATTATGCTTGGCCATTTGAAACAGGATTAGACATGGTAAGAGGTGTCTTTTTTCCATCATACTAAAAAGAATCTAGAGGTTGAAAATTACAATGGTTAGTATTAATTGTGAAACTGATTAAATTCCAGACTCTCTGGAGAGACAGGTCTGTGAGCATGCCTATGGGCATTGCCTTGGTGTATTAGTTGAGACGAGAAGACCTGCCCACTGTGGGTGGCACCAATCCCTGGCTGGTACCCTCGACTGTGTAATAGAGAAAGAGAACTGAGCAGCAGCATGCATTCATCACTCTCTGGTCCTGATTGTGGATATCATGCCACCAGCTTCTCCAGACTCCTGCCACCTTTACTTTCTTGTCATGGTGGACTGAACCCTTGAACTGTGACCTCCACTAAACCTATCTCTCCTAATTTGCTTTTATCAGAGTATTTATGACAGCAGCTAGGGGAGAACAAAGACAATAGTATTGGGATGTTTTGCAGAAATGTGGTGAAACAGAAGATGTTTTTATCCTTCTGCTTTGTCACTTTAACTCATAGCCTCCCTGCCTTTGAGAGTCACTTTGTAATTTGGTATAACCATGGATTTTATCCATCACTAAAAAAATAAGGAACAGAGTAGTTCCTCCCAATGAAAATTTTTCTTCTTGAATGTCTAGCAATGTGTCTAGTTAAAAATGCAGATTCTGTGGAAAGGGGTCCATGAGTCCCTACCCCTGCCTTGAGGATATACAGTTGATAGTTTCTGGGGAAGGGAGAGTACACAAAAGTGGGGATGGGTAGGAATGTCAGCGTGAATGTGGTAAGAGTTAAGGGGGAAATTGTGGCAAATATAATCAAAATGTGTTGTATAAAATTCTCAATGAATTAACTGAATTGGTTTTTAAAAGAGGAAAACAAAAATAGCTCCTAAGAGGGTTCAGAAAGAATGGGAGGGGAAATGTTTAGGCTGTATATGCTCTAAATATATTTTATACTTATGAAAAATCACCAGAAAAGAAAGAAAATATAGCTCCTATAAGTCATAGGTGAAGCAGTGAATATTGTAATAGTGAATTAGCAGAATATGACACAAAAATCAAAATCAGGTATTGGAAGCCTCTATCTAGAAGTTCATGATAAATATATAAGCTTTTACAAAGCCCCAACTACAAAATGAATTAGACTTTGTTTCACAGATTTGCTGTTATCCTTGAGTCTCACTTGAGTCTCACTGACTACTGGTTATAATGAATCTAAGGTGGTCTGACACACTGTGGATTGAGTTTTGTTGTGTGGCTCTGTGACAGCTGAGTTTCAATGACCTCATGGATGGGAGTGCATAAAGTTTTTGTTGATGTGACAGTGGGACTTAAGGACAATGAATATCACTCTCCTTGTTCCCAGTTTTCCAGATGAGGTTTTAAATTATTCCACTCTTAGTACTGCTGGGATGCCTAGCTTGCAATTTTAAAACATGAATGATGCAAGATCTCCTGAGCAGATTGGGAGCCTTGGGAGAGGGGAGAGGGAACTGTGAAAAAGAAAGGGAGAGAAGACTAGAGGAGAGGAGAGGAAGACATGGGGGAGCAGGAAGGTTGAGTCTGGGGAAGAATAGAGGCGAGAAGGATGAGAGATACCATAATGGAGGGAATCATTAATGTTTGAAGAGAGAGCTGACATTAGTGAGATTTCCAGAGATCTAAAAGGATGACACCAACTGGCAAACTAAGCAATAGCGGAGAGACTACCGTAATAACCTTTCCCTGATAATGAGATTGATGACTACCTTATTCGCCATCCTAGAACCCTCATCCAGTGACTGATGGAAGCAGAGGCAGACACCCACAGCTAAACACTGAACTGAACTCCTGGAACCCAGTGACAGAGAGGGAGGAGTGATTAGCAAAGGGGTCAAGACCGGGCTGGTGAAACCCATAAAGACAGCTGACCTAAACAAGGTGGAGATCTTGGACCCCAGACTGATGGCTGAGAGGCCAGCAGGGGATTGATCCAGAACCCCTGAATGTAGTGTCAGTGAGGAGGCCTCGGCAATCTCTGGGGGCCTTGGGTAGTAGATCAGTGTTTACCATGCTGTAAGAATGAACTTTGGGAGCCCATTCCACATGGAGGGATGCTCTCTCAGCCTAGACACATGGGGAAGGGCCTAGGTCCCTCTGGAGATCCCCAAGGATCCTCTCTGGGGAATGGTGTGGGGGTTGGGTGGGGGTTTGGAGGGCCTGGTGGAGGGGCAAGGGAGGAGGGGTGGGAGAGGGAGCTGGGATTGACATGTGAAGCAAGCCTGTTTCTAATTTAAATTTAAAAACATTTTTAAAAGTGCTACTCAGTTACATAGCCTGGCATATGCATTTCCAGGTTAAGGAATACCAGTTAGCCTTTCTCAACTAGGTTTCTGTTGGCAAGAAAGCCCTTTGAGAAATGATTTTACAGCTTTTCTGTCAATTGCCCCACGGCTGGTAGACAGAGAACACCATTCTGCATGTGCCAACCCATTACATAAAGCAGGTCCTTAATGGCATATGAGTTCTGTTCTCTTGGAGAACCCTTTAGAAGAGCTGGTTGCGTTTGTGTGATTTAGTCACAGCACTGACTCTTATTTAACCACTTCCCCTCAACAAAAGCAGATGTGGTGTGCAGCAGGACATGAGTTTACTGTTGCCCCGCTGTCTGAGACAGAGTCCAGTGTGTTTCCTATCACATCCCTGCCTGGCACAGTCGACAACAGCTTTCCCTCTGTTAAACTCTGGTGTTCCCCTCAGAAAGCAATCGATTCCCTTTCGTCACGCTGTCGTCTGTGTGTTATGAAATCCAATGCAAATGCTCCTCAACAATTATTTTAATTGTGCTCATGGCTATTCTGTTCAGAGCTGAGATGAGTTCTCAAAGGCTGTCTTTGTTGATTGTATTCTATGACCTGCTGCAAAGTGGCTACAGTTTATTGCAGTGAAATTGATGAGGACACGAGCTTGAAATTAATTTTCAAATTCTTGGTTTTATTCTATATTGCTTCCTTTTATAGAAAGCAGTCACAAGAGGACCAAATGCAGAGTCTATATCCTTCCAGTTTTAGCACTGAGACACCTCAGAATTTGCCAGATTGGCTTCAGAATGACTGCTTCTTATACTCCATTTTGGTCTTCAGAGTCCTTTTAGGTTACCTAAATCATTAAAAAATGTCCTCCATTTCGTTGCCTTGTGAGAATTTCTTCACCACTGCATTTGAACCTCTAAGTTTACCTACAAGAGCTAAGAGGACCTAGACCCATGAGAGTGGTATTTGTTATAGAACACTGCCAGTGTCAGTGGCCCCTCAGTAGTTCTATGATGTCCACAAAACATGCAGATTCCCAGGCCTGCTGTAGAATTCCCTTTGGTTTTTTTCCTTTCTACAGGGAGTGATAACTCCACAGTAGCATATGTAGTGGTCTTCCAGAGGATCCGAGTTTGGTTCCTTGTACTCACATTATGGGCAACTCATAGCTCCCTATAACACCAGCTCTGGGAACATCCCATGTCATCCCATGACTTTCATGGACACCTGCACTCACATACATGTACTCACATGAAGACACGCATGCATGCTTGTCAATAATAAAAATAGCTCTTTAAAAAGAGAGAAAGATTGGGAACATGGAGGGGGTGGGGGACTGGGAGTTGGGAAGAAGAGAGGGGGAGGAGGAGAGAGTAATCATGGGGGAACAGGAAGGTTGAGTTGGGGGGGAGAATAGGGGGAGAACAGGATGAGAGATACCA